GTATATATATATATATATATATATATATATATATATATGCCGTACAAAAAGAATTGAACTCGAATCTTTTTTGCAAAATTTTTGCAAAAACAAAATAACACCAGTTTCAACAGTTTAAAATTAATCATTTGATTTGCATGCTACTGTCCTAAGATTAGGATATAAGCAACTACTAGTCTAATACTTTGTAGCGAAGCCGTTGACATCTATGACGGCTTGGCATCTGCTGGGCCTTGACTCCACCAACTTGACGGTCACGCACTCATCAATTTTCTTCCATTCTTCTCCGAAATGGCCGAATCCTTGAGCAGCATTTGTGACTGCTTCACTGTTTATCCCTTTACTGAGTTCCTGCCACGGAGGCTCAATGATGTTAAGGTAAGGGGACCGGCTGGGTCAGTCAGGGCATCGAATTTTCCGATGGGTCAGCCACTCGCGCTCGCTTCTAGATCAGTGTTTGTGGTCGTTATCTCGCTGGAAAGTAAATTTTCTGCCGTGTATAGGACGGGCAAAAGGTAGCATGCATTTTTGCGAAATGCCTACGTACATTTTCTGGTCCAGTGGTGGGAATATGGTGTAGGACCCTATGTCTAGCCTAGAAAGACATCCTGAAACCAATGCTAAGCCGTCCGTTTTGCAATTTTTTGAAATAAATTCACCCATCAGGCCAGAAATGAGCTAGCGAAAATCCTGTATCGCAGGACAATCGGTAATGTTTGAAAAGGGTGCTATCAAAAATTCCAGAAACGTAGGGCTGAGATGAGTTATGGCAATAAAAGTTCACGGTGACTTCTTTTCGAACGATGGATAATGATAATGATTTACTAGGACATTCCTCTGGCATTCCGAACATGAGTTAACAAGGACACGCACTCTATTCGTAACCCACCTTCGGCAGGGCATTCCAAGGGAAAAACGCGGGTGTAGCGGCTCAAATTGCCAACAACCAACAACAACAACAACAACAAACAAACAACCATCACCGATCAACGGTCGGTTAGATCGCTTCACTTCAGTATATGCTGGCCATCGAGGTAATGAAAGCATCGTACCATAGTTTCCAGTGGCTTCACTATGAGTTGCTAAGTGCAGACTAAACAATCACAGCTGTCCCTTGTCTCTATGAACCCCAGTATTTAACCAACGTGGTAAGTGAAGGACGTTTAAGACCAGACTTTTGGTCCCTACCGAATGACAGTACACGTCGATATTTCGCTTTAGACAGCGGTCGTACACTCGGAATGTAGTCCTTTATTATTATCATGTGCTCAGCCTTTATAAAAGTCTCTTTGTTCGGAAAAAGTTCGTGAATAAACTTGATCTGGAAACGGTAGTCAATGATTTCTCTGAGTCACAGCTCCCTGACTTCTCTACAGTAGGCGCCAGTGATTAGCTAAAAGGATAAGAGTAGGTTGCTGATCACCTCTGTGTATATATTTCCAAAATTTGATTGGTCTAAAAAATTCTAGAGATAAATGTAAAATGGCTTCCATTTTGACGTGGGGCTCTCTTGCCAACCTGAAGTGAAGTAGGACATTTCGAAGCATCTTAAAAGTGAACAGCACTTTCGTTCACTTTTGCTTTGCTTTAGAGACGAAGCGCTCATTATTTTGACTTCTCCACACAAGTGAACGAAGTTAGCGCGTAGCATTCAGAGATGTTCGTTCCGTTGAGGGTCAAAAGTGCATCAGAAACCGGTCTATTTCTCATGAACCCAGTCCCCGTTGGGTTCAGTTGCAAATTGGTCTTCTCACAATGTTGTCGAATTCAACTAGTATTCGTTCCGTCTGCTCGATAACCGACGTCATAAGCATGATGTGGTCTGGAGAGTGATGGTGATGAAATGTCGTCGACTCTCATCTGATCTCTCTCTCTTTTCCAAAAGAAGTTTTTGACTGGTATTACTAAAAGGTATGGGCGAATAAGGCAACTTTTTTTTATGATCATCAAGTTCTGACACTACTGCAGGTCACTCCGCAGCACGGCACTAGACGACCTCAACTCGTCCAAAGTGTTGCAGGACTTATCTTTCGACCTAATATGAATTTGAAAAATTTTTGCTGAACGATCAACAAGAGGGAACAGATAAAATGTAGCCCAGATTGTGTCACTTATAGGAGAAACACTTCAAACTATCAATTATATACATATGACAATTTAGATTTCCATCGGGTACGAATCCGGAACTCCTTTGCATATTTCCTAATGCTGAAGGTGTTTACTCCTGCATTTTTTACAGGAATTCCCAAAGAACGAAGTTTGTGATGTTGAGAGCCTGGTATAGAAGTATTAAGTTAGAGGAAACGGGTCACATGGATCGTGTGCACTGAGAAGTAGAATGAGTGTAGAATTATGTCTCTATAACACACAGCAATATCTTATTCAAACAGCAGCTTTATCGGGAGCGTTCACTGCTCTAGTCGAGAATTCCTATAACCCGTATTCGAAATATTAAATTTGGCCAGGGTCTCTCAAGCTTCCGCGAAAAGTGTAAAATAGAACAATTGATTAGCACAAGAGTATTCATTGACCTATTAGGTCGTAATAGGTCAAAGAAGAGTTCTTGCCATTTCCGCGCACGCGTCAAACAAATGCAAACTGTGTCGACTGTCAAATCAGATCGATCGACGCAATGTGCTCCTCAGGTGAGTCGTTCGTCACTCCTTCTTCCTTTCTGCCCCTTTTGCCGTAATTCCGTAAGGCTTCTGAAATCTTCGAGACGTTTTTTTGTAAAATGGATGAGAATGGTTCCGAACGGTTGATTCACAAGTCTAACCAGGGAAGAATCCAACATCCTACATACTACAAAGCGCTTCGTCTCTCGTCTGTCGTCTGTCGTTATGTATGTCTGTCACGAAATTCCTTATCTCCTTTAGATCTGCTTGGAGAAACCGGATCAAGCATGGGATGGGCGGGCCATGTCCCGAGAAGTATAAAGCATACATCGGCTTGGCGCAGCCCCGCCCAAAGTGGGCATGGTGTGCGTCGAAATGAGCTGTACTCAAGACCACGATTTCAAATTCAGTCACGAGACGGCTTTTTTTAGTACTACCTGACGTAGACATAAATTTTAATTAGTGTTTACGAAATGTAGTTCTTCATGGCTTATTCGAAACTGGGTGTAAAGGTGGCTAGCGGTGTGCATTGGTAACTTAGATCGAACTAGGGTGACCCACACCCATAATGCAATGCTTTATGAAAACATTTATGACTCGGTTTGGAGAAAGCCAATAGAGCGGGAAAAATCTGATGAGTAGAGGAAGCATTGTCGAAGGTGTCTCCAGTATAAATGACGTCAGCGGAGGCCCACCGAATATGAGCGGGATGTGCGTTGAGGTGAAAGCTACTTTTCAAAAATGAGTGCAACTCCGTTCGGAAAGGTTTTAGAATGCGGAAAAAAGTGGTTAGAGGCAATAAACAAATGTGGTCAAATACTCGGAGTGGGCGGGCTTGGCACCAAAGCGGCGAGGCCTAGATCAAAATTTCACAACTCTGTTCAGAACGTTATAGAATGCGGAAAAAAGTGGGTAAAGGCCAGCAAATGAAACGAAGTCAACCATCATTGATGAGCGGGGCATGCACAAATGTGTGCGAAGCTATACACCAAACATTATAACTCGGTTCCACGAAGCCTGGAGAATGGGAAAAAAAGCATTGAGTCTGAAGTCAGTAGTCGAATCGAGTCCTACAACTGAGAGGAAAGTGTGCCAATGTGGGCGGAGTAGGCAAAAACCTACAATTTGTTAAAACACAGGACTCCGCCCACATTGGGCCAAAAGGCGGGGTTTGAGTGGACATTCATAGCTCCTGTTACTATGGACCTAGCCTAGAACGCTGAAGTTTGTTTGGTGTGCAGACGACAGGATAGAAACACTTATGGTGGGTCGCAAGACCGGATTCCACCCACGTGAGGCGGTGTTAGTGCGAAAAGTTTTAACTTGGACTTGAAGCGCTCATATTTGGTAGAAATACAGGCGACAGGATCGGAGCACCTATGTCGGGACTTAACTCCGCTCATAGGAGCAATAGAATAGGGGCGTGGGCAAAAAATGTTCATTTAGACTTGAAGCGAAACTTCGAAACCAAGGTTGAATAAGTCGGAAATAAATTGAGTTACTCAAACACATAGAACCTAAGGAGGTTTTTTCATGGCGGACGGGGCGCGCGTTGGGTGTTCGTGTTTGGCCGGGAATGAATAACCCCTGTTCTCATCTATCGAAGGGCTCCAAATTTGAAAGAGGTGCAGCCGGGGAGGGCGTTTTAATACGAGGAGGGGAGCCCGGCGCCAGATGAGCGAGCCGACTGGTTTGAAATAAGACCCATACTGCTAGACGCGTTTTTGGATGCTGATTTCAAATCAGCTTCCCAAATTCGCCAAGCTATTCCCTAGACGGAGTTGGGTTAGTGATTCAGTTGAGATTTTATATAAGAGAACTTAAACTATAAAGATGTACCACGCTCTTCAACGGTGGCTCGGAGCAGCGGTAAGGGTGACGCTTCTCTTGCAATAGACAAGGGTTCGGGCTTCGCGGGGGATCGAATTTTTGCATTATATAGAACTTTTTCTTAGGGACAAGAAAATGCTCTCATTATGATTTTATTTCGTTCTATGAAGTTTTGATGCTTTTGCTGATACCTTCTCCTACCTCCTGCTTTTGCTGATACTTCATTATTCGCATGCCCATGAGCTCCATATTCACAGTAGGATAGCGTTTGCCACTTTATAAACAAAGGCGGTACTCTAGCACGGAATACTTGAAATAAAAAAAGCTTATCACAAGGGGAGCAACGGGTGAAAAAGAACTCGTCACAGCCCATTGCTCTACAATCACCTACCGAATCACAAGGAAAACAGAATTGTGTGGGTGTCTCAAAACCACTAGAGTGCTCAAGTAGCCGGCGGTATAACATTAATAGGAGGGAAATTCCCTAAATTTAAAATCACACAACTGGATATCTCATATGAGGTCATGTGTTTAAACATGTTTTTGAAAGGCAATAAAAAATGAACATCTAGTGGCTGTATTGGCCTCGTGGTGCAAACAAGGATTTTCATTACCTTTACAAGCATTTGTGGAGGTTAGACAGACTGAATAGCTTTATGGTCGTTGAATGATGTCCACGACTCCACTATCAACGGTGTAGGTGTTGGTGAGTCTAGAGATGCAACGCACGATCGCACCCATTCCACATCAACATTATTCATTTCATCCTATGCATTTTACACGCCCGGTACTCCAATTTTTGCGCAGGAAAGAATCTTCCACTCGAACAGGTAGGTAGGAGGAGAAGATCTCAGCAAAAGCATTAAAAAATCATAGAACGTGATAAAATCATCACGAGAATATTTCCTATATCTCAAAAACTCAAGGATAAAGAACTCCTTGAGGACAAGGCAAAAATCCGTTGAAAAGCGAGATACATCCATGTAATTTAGGTTTTCTTACGTAAAATCTCACCTGAATCACCATCCTAACTCCGACCAGAGAATCGCTTGACAAATTTGGGAAGCAAACTTGAAATCAGCATACGAAAACACGTCTAGCAGTATAGGTCTTATTTCAAATGGCAACTTCGACATGAGATCCTTCCCTGGTAAGATTGGCCAAACTGCAAATGAGGGCAGCCACAAATATCAATGTTGAATGGGGAGAAGGCACTGACTCGGAGCAAACGATTCATTAACGGTTTAAGGAGTCAGAAATGGAGTCGATTTACAAGAAGTCAAAGAGCGAGTTGGTCGACCATCGTTAGTTGATCACGATGCTTCGCAAAGAGCAGTCGAAGGAGATCAAAGTCGACCTCTAAGGGAGATTGCCGACATGATGAGAGTTCCCCATTCATTGTAGTCGCTGACCACCTTAAGCAGCTAAAAATCTCGAGAAAACAATGCAAATTGTCCTGAAATAGCAAGCAAGTAGTCTTCAACTAAACCATCTGCGCCTTTGCTTGAAGACGATTGTACTTGGGAAATTCCCTCGTCCGCCACCCAAGGTGACGGTATTCACCTCTGTCATTTAACGCATGAGGTCTCAGTAGTAATGAATTCTTGGCTGACAAGATAAACATAGATGACGACAACGCTGAGGGTGAACCTCAGGAAAAAGGTGGCCCAAGCCGTGGTTTGGGAAAAGATGTATCTCACATAAAATACTCACCAGCCTGCCAAGACGAACTTCTTGTTTTTCGAGAGGACGGGGATATCCAACATGAACTGAGACTTGTGCTACAATGTCATTCTAAATTTAAACTCGTCTTGTGGTCAGAGATGAACCCCTGAAATTGCTTTCCAATTGAGCAGCTTAGACTCACCGAGTGATACTCGTTACTTTCCTCATCTTTCAAAGGACACAACTTTGACTGTGTTGTCTCAAGCGATGCTGATGATATTGATGGTGTAGAGAACTTTGTATCTGGAATTCACACCTATTCTGATCTTCATCAATCATCTAGCTCATGTGAAACAGATGCTAAAGTCCAAAACCTGATAAAATGAGCTGAATTTCACCTATGTGTTCCTCATTGGCAGCGTCTGGGAGCAGTACCGTCGCATGCCTTGACCTACCATTTGATACATAAAATGTACGGTCACTTCTGCAACGCTCTCGCTTCATTCCTGCCAGCCCCTGTGAAGCGAAGATCCAGTTTGGTTCAACGAAAGAGCAACCCACTCGAGGCTGTGGTTGGGGATGAAGTGGAATAGAATGAGTGTCACCAAATTCGTGATCAGACTTAGAATCAATATCCGAGAAAGGAACAGAATCAGAGAAAGGAGCAAAAAAATTGGAATTAGTCAGATGATGCTCCTGATATAAGCGAAAACAGTCTCCTCGTGTGGCTGTTGGCGGCAAGCATGTAAATGAGTCACATTCTCGCCAGTCCGGCCTCCAAATTTTGGCCGACAGCGGCTCTGGCCCAAGATCGTTTGGAACCTATAAGAGACGATGTAGCACTTGACGGCATCACACCACAACATAATGCATAATGACAAGTGCACAGACATAAAGCTCTTGAGTATAACTACCGTAGAAATTGCAGCGAATTTAAAATCTCGCAAAATTTCATCTTCCTTATTAAAGCAGTACCTTGGTATGTTGCTTTACTTGTTGATCTGCATGTTTATCTAGGCGTGCATATCCGTTTACAAAACGAAACAAGCACGACTAAAGCGTCCTCTTCGGAACAATACGTATGTGGAAAATGCTAACTAGAGTCCGGTTCCCTTTACCCTTCTAACGACAATAAGTACTTCGATCACCTGGGACAAAAAAGGTTACCGTTTTGGGAGACCCAAGATGCAAAACAAAATTCATTTCTTCAAAAGTTGGCGAGTTGAGAACCGGACCTTCTCCCTGGGATAGGTCCGAACCGTACTTTTGCTTTCACCTTGCTCTTCACACTCCACCTATCAAAACCCCACTTGCCCTCGCCTTCTCAATGACTTTTATAACATAGTCTGCCAGCGCTCATACATTCAACATGAAGACCCAGTCAACCAATAACGTCAGCCAATAACCCCGTTGAACTGTGAAACTGCTATTTCTACTATTCCCGTGACCTATGACTATATGAACTGTTTTGACTTGACATTTTGATAATTGCTGCTATTTCGCTACAGTACAGATCTCAAACTCTAACGAGGCTTGCTGTTTTCATAGGGGGCACAAACATTTCATCTGCAGCCGAGTGGTATACGTATGAACTACTCGATTACCAATAAGGAATTGATCCAAGCCGTCTTATCTTTTCGGGTAACTGGTAATCTCTCTAGATATAAAGCGGTAACTCTGTGTCTGTTTGTATGTCGGCCCTGCCCACAGTGGGCGTAAATAAAAACTGGGGTGTAAAAGTGGCTGGAGGTGTGCACTGATAAGTTAGATCGGAACTATTCTACTATTACACCCCCAAAAACTCAAAATTTTA